GAGAGAGAGAGAGAGAGAGAGAGAGAATTTTTAATATTTTATTTTTTAGTTCTCAGCGGACACAACATCTTTGGTGGTATGTGGTGCTGAGGATCGAACCCGGGCCGCACGCATACCAGGCGAGCGCTACCGCTTGAGCCACATCCCCAGCCCCAGGCGTTATGTTTTGGATGTGAGGTGTCCCCCAGAAGCTCATGTGTGAGACAATGCAAGAGGGCTTGGAGGCGAAATGACTGGGTTGAGAGTCTTAACCTAACCAACGCATTAATCCCCGGTAGGCATGAACTGAGTGGTGACTGCAGGCAGGCAGGGTGTGGCTAGAGGAGGGGTCATGGGGGCATGGCTTTGGGCATATATTTTGTCCCAGGGTGAAGGGAGTCTCTCTCTCTGCTTGCTGGTGCCCATGTCCTGAGGCCACTTCTCGCCGTCACATCTTTCCACATGATGCTCTGCCTCACCTCCAGCACAGAGCAATGGAGCCAGCCGTCTGTGGACTGAGACCTCTGAATAAGCACCCAAATAAACTTTTCCTTCTCTAAAATTGTTTTTGTTGGGTCCTTTGATTAGAACAGGGACAAAATGGGCTGAAACAACTGGCCTCAGGGATCTGATACTGCAGGTGGAAGTGTCCTTGCCTTCAAACCTGTCCCTGCTGACCCTGTAGAGCGTCCGGCTCTTGCCCACCCAGATGCTCACGCCCTTTGCACATGTGCTTTTTTGTGTCTTGAAACCCAGTTCCTGAATACTTTTGCTCCTTTCTGGCTTTGCAGTTTCCTGGGCAATAAATGTTCCCCCTACAAATCCCGCCCAATGTTCTACTTTAAAAAAAAATGGGCCAGAACCCAACCTCTGTTAACCCCTGGTCTCTTCTACTGTGATCTTTCCTGCTACAAAACATTGTATCAATGTGATGTATTTATAGTCATATTCTCTATTTAGGGTCCAGAAACTATACTCAGTTTACAAACACTGTGTCTGTAAATTTGTTTTATTTTAATTTGGCAGAGCCATAGGATATTGTGGATGCTCAAATACTGATAAGAGACTATCCAAGTTTAATACTCTTACAATAAAAGAGGCCAAGATAAACTCTTCATCATAGTAGGACAATCTAATGGGTGTTCAAAAATTTTGATTACTTCTTTTTTTAAAAAACAATGAATTTTGTGAACTTAAAAGCAAGACATCATTAATCGATCACCGGGTATTTAGTAGAAAATGAAAAAAACTCAGCTGTGTTCTTTGTCTACTGCCTAACAAAATGTTGGGACAAGGTTAGTTGGTACTTATATTCCTTGCAATAATAGCTTTCTTTACAAATTTTTTTTTGTTTTTACACTTATTTTTTCGTATATTAGTGCACTTTGGTTACACATATAGTTGGGTTCCTTTTGACAAAGTCATATATGCGTGGAACATGATTCACTCCATTCCAGCAGCCCCCAGTGGTCCCTTCTCCTCTCCTCTTCCCTCCCCTAGTCTCCTTCCTCTGCCTGCTGCTCTTCCTTTTACTCTTCCCTTTCGCTTTATTTATTTTTGATTGGTACTTTGTAGATATACATAAAGGTGGATTCCTTGTGGTATTTGAATGTGCACATAAGGGATTTTGTTAAATTAATTCTGCATTTCCTCCCTTTTCTCATCCTCCCTCCCTCTCTCTCTTCCTCTACTCCACTGATCTTCCCTGTGTTTTTGTAATTCCTGTCCCCATTTCCCCCTTATTTTGCTCTAGATTTTGCATATGAGAGAAAATATTGCACCCTTGACTTTCTAAGTCTGGCTTATTTCACTTAGCACAATGTTCTCCAGCTCCACCCATTCACCAGCAAATGCCGTAAGTTCATTCTTCTTTATGGCTGAATAAAACTGCATTGTGTATATATATATATATATATATATATATATATATATATATCATATCATAGTTTCTTAATCCATTCATCTATTGATGGGTTTTGGGGCAGGTTCCATAACTTAGCTGAGTTGTGCTGCTGCAGACATTCGAATGCATGTCTCTCTGTAGGAGGCTGATTTTAGTTCTGTTGGATAAATATCAAGGAGAGGGATAGCTGGGTCATATAGTGGTTCCATTCCCATTTTGATGGTCGTGGTGGTGGTGGTGGGGGGAGTCTTCACGCTGCTTTCCAGAGGTGTTGTACTGATTTCCAGTCCCACCAACAACATGAGTGTACCTTTCTCCCACATCCTCGCCTACATTCATTTATTATTATTTGTGTCCTTGATAATTTGCACTTAAAGTGCTTTTCAGAGTACTGTGGACCTATTCTTGAGTGTATTCTGAATGATACACCATGATTTTCCAAATCTTTCTGCAGCAGTCACTCTGCCCGGAGATGATCCCCAGATGCTCTCAGGCAACTGGAACACTTGCTAGAATGAACCAAACCAAGCTTGTTAGAAAATGATACCAGGATCAACATACTTTATACGCAAACAGAGATATGAAAAAATTGTGGTATCTATGTGTAATAAGAATTGTAATGCATTCTGCTGTCATTTTTTTAATCAATAAAAAATGAAGAAAGAAAAGGGGGAAAGAATGACACCAGTAATTATCAGCCTACAAT